GGGACAAGCATTAGCACTGGCCTCATGATTCGCTCCGCATCGATGCTCTCATCCCATCCCCAGATACAGCTCTGCGAGCACAGGCTTGCAATGCTGCAAACTGTCAGCTTCCATCCTTCAGGAAACATCCGCTCCCCAGTCCCTCCCAGCTTTTCAGATGCAACCACCAGGAGATCCTCTTTCAGTCCATCCCAGCAAGCTTGCTAAGTCATATCCCCGACTTCTGCAGTCAGCACTGCTGTCCGACAGCAGTTCAGTAGAGTAGAGGTCATTCCTCCCCTACCAGCCCCATAACCCATACCAAAATTACAGTCCCAGAATGGCAGATGGGATAAGCTGGCCCTTCTCCTTCAGGTCAAGCTAAAAGGTGGAAACTGGAGGTTTCCATATTTGAATCCTGACTGAGGCTGCAAAACTGAATGCAGAGCAGGGAACGCTGTTGGATGTCACTTGTGTTCCAGTCTCCTTCACAACCTTAATGGCACCAGAACTACCTCTTGCATACCTGGGTGAGGTCCCAGGTGAATCCCAGTGTGAGGGTCCTAATCTCCACCTCTTGACAGTGTTTCTGCTGGGTAAATGCCCAGAAGTAAATTCTTGCATTTCTACCCCTTCTCTAGGATTCCGGGGTGTTCTGAGAGGGGAAGGTGGAAAGTGAGAGGAGGATTGTGTGACCTGTTTTCCTCATCATTCAGTTCCTCCCTGTGTCTGAAAGTCAGCAGTAACAGTCAGAGCATGAAGCAGCAAACTGGCATTTGACCAAGTAGCCCACGAATTAGAAACACTGTCAGACAGAGAGGGATTTAGGTGATTATTAGAGGCAGTCTGAAATGCAACACTGCAGAGGGGGCAAAAAAACCCCACCATAGTAATGGTCCAAATGCAGGTTTCCACCTGCATTATACTGCTACCATGAGCCAGCTGGCGGAATTCCCTGAGACTCAAGGCCACAGTCTCGGACACTTCTCTGGTACTCCTTTTGCTGAACTAGATATGAGAACAGTTATCTCACAGGCACTTCCAGATAAAAAGAGACAGAGGATGCTGGAGAGGAAACATTACTTCCCTTTAAGGCCTGATACACCCTACAATGCACTAATCGTCACAGACAGCAACTATGAAAACCTCCACTCGCCTCCCTTTACAATTTTCTGTTCTGTGTGCACATATAGATGTGCCATCCCTTTCTCCATCAATGTTAGAGAAAGCGTTACCTTTGGTGTCATGTTATTGGTGATGCAGAAGGACAAGTGTTGCAAGATGCTCTCCATGCTGTGGTACTGCTGCTGGCGGGTGGTGCGAAGGTACTTCTGCAGAGCTCTTGCCATGGAGGGGAAGATTGCCTGGGCTGCTTCACGGGGGTCCATCATCTCTCCTGGAGCTTTCTGCTGTTCCTCTGCCTGGAGCCGTTTGATGTGAGTGAAAGCCTCCTCTACTGCAACTACAAGCCTGCAGAAGGAAAAGCAGGACAGTAAGAGTCCCAAGTAAGGCAGGATGAGTCTGTGGTTAAGGAAGAGCCCGGGAGTCAGGATTTACAAGCTCCTATTCCCTTCCCTGCCACTGACTCACTGCCTGCCATCACCCAATTTGCATAAAAATCTTCTCTACTGAGTCTGAGGGGTAGGTAGCAGCTTTTCTTTCCTTGCCTAAACCATCCAGCAACTGAGGGTCATAAAATACTTTAAAAGCCTGAGTGTCTTACTTGCTTCTGCCAGCACAGCATAAACATCAGTGCCATGTCTCAAACAAGACACAGCAGCTCTTGCATTTAATACGTGTCTTTGAAAACAACAGCTCCGGCATACGCCACTGCAGCGGGAAGCGTAAGGACAGGCAAGCAGTCAGGAAGGGGCTGGCTATAAACTAGCATGGGGCTGGCTATAAACTAGCATGACCCAGGACACAGACTGCTCTGTGGCTTGCTGTGCTCACAAGCTGCTGTCTGCTCGAATTTACATCAACCGGGCACAGACTGTATGCTGCTGGATGACTGCTCTGCACACCTCCACTGAGCAGTAATGGGGCTCCCGCCTTCACTCCTAACACTGCAGCCAGAGACATCCTCTGCAAACCATTCCTGTGTTGGCACAGGTGAGCAAACATCAAGGCCGCACCATAAAAAGGCAAACAGATTCCACAGGACCCTTCAAAGTTAGCCCAGTACTAAGTAACAAGTGAGGGGCTACACTGCAGTCAGGAAGAAGTAATTATAATGGAAGAATCCCCCAACAAAACTCTTTTGCCCCTCCAGACCAGACTTGTTTCACACTGGATTTCCACTCCAGTCACCAGCTACCATCCACACTGCCCTCAATACCCAAAGCATCTGAAAGGCAGGGGAAGCTGCCTCACAACAAGCAGAGGTAAAGCATTCAGACTACGCATGAGGAACAGCATGAGAAGCCCTGACCCCCGCCCATTTTGTTTAATTTGACTTGGGTGAGGTGGGGGGCGGAAATCAGTTCCTAATCTCCTCATGTCTCTTTGTTGCAGCTCTGACCTTCCTCCTTTGAAATATCTGGCCTGATCTTCTGGTGACTGATGGTTTTCCTCTGACTAAGCAGCTATTCTAACCAAACTCTGCAAGCAAGGGAGATGTGCCTGACATAGAATGCTACACTGCACAGAAAGGAAAGTTTAAATGCCTAAAATTTAAGTTCTGAGGCTGGAAGAGAGCCCAAAAGACAATGGCTATGGAGCATAAGTCAGATAGAAGCAGGCTATGGTGGGACACTGTGCCAGCACTTCCCCAATGAAATACAAACTGCTTAAAGGAAACACAAAAACAAGCCAGCTCCTTCCAGTTACGGCACATTCCTCCCAAACACAGCTCAGCTCAGGGGTGACTGTCCATAAGCAACTTGCCTCAAACTGTTACGTATGTTAACTATAAACTACAATTAGGCTCCAGAGCAAATACAGGCACTATCTCAGGTCACCTCCACAAAGCATCAACTCTGCAGCCTAAGTGTGACTGGTAGAAAACATACCTATTTTCCAAAATAAAATGCAACCGCTTCTAGTCATCTTTTGTCCCCAACTCATTAAAAAGGGCAGTCAAATTGCTCCTTTTAGCTGACTGCAAACATAAACAGGCAACACCAAGTGCTCCACCGATCCTGTCCTTGGATTACTTGATCTGAGACGACAAGCCTGGGCACAGGGGAAGTAATGGGATTTCCTACAGTAAGTAACTACAGATTTGTCAAGCACTGGACTGCTCCCTAATCCGTGACATTGCATTAGCTTATCTGGCATAATATGCATGAGCTCTGCTTTATGCATGTTCTTCAGATAATTCTAGTTTGCAAGCTGTCACCATCCCTTGTGCATCTGGGTTTCAAACGCTTCTTCACTGTGACAGATTTACAGCCAAACCTGCAGCCCTTAATTATGGGTCCCCAGTCTTGTCAGGCTCAGCAAGCACCACGCGACTGAACCGAGGAGCAGCACCCAGGAAGGGACAGCTTTTACCTTGCACGGCGTTTCTTCACTCGGCGCTCATGGTCGGCCTCTTCGTAGTAGAGCTCGTTGTGGCTGGAGTCCCTGCGACGGGCCGCTGCTGCGATCATGGCACGGGACTGCCCTGTGGCATTGTTACCTGGGCCTTTGGGAGGTGAGGACAAGCAACAAGGAGACAAGAAAGTTGGTGTTACTGTCACAGGACTGGGGCTGGGACAGACCAGCACCCCACAGCATCTGTCACAAGCACTCTGTGGCTCCAGTCTTCCCAGCCAAGGCTATAAACCCTTCCCCAGTCCTCAGGAGCTCTGACAGAAACCCCACTAGACAGCACAGCCTTGCTGAGGGGGCTTTGGCTTGCAGACAAGGGTAGTTAGTTGGGATGAAGGATCTCACACAACGTACACGAAGGCAGAGGTGAGGTGTACATGCCAAGGATGCAACTTACCACCCATTATATATGTTTTCAGTTTGAAGGCAAGGGCAGCTGGAACACACCACATTTCAGCAACAAGACAGTGTGAGAGCGTAAGAAGTGAGGAGTTGGAAAGAGGAGAAACACAAACATAAGATCATCATGAGATGTGGAGATGAATGAACGAGAGTCAAACTCCAGTCAGTTACACACAGGGAGGAAAAGCAGGATGTAGAAGCAGCAGGGTCACCTTTAGATAAAGCACAGGGTTTTCCAGAAGGGCAGATGCTGTCAGAGCAGCAGTCCTGCAACAGGGTAAGCTGGGGTTTTTATGCAGAGTAGCTCTTCAAGGCTCACCGAGCAGCACCTACCATTAGTGCTTTTGTTGTCATTAACAGATCCTAGACAGCTACAGGAACAGGGAAGCTGCTTAAGTGACAGTGTCTACTACACAACCTTAACTAGCGACCTTAAAATGCAATACTAGGTTCTGCAGCTCCCCCATGAAGCTCACAGATGTTTGGGCAGAGAGGAGAAAAAAAAAAGCTGCCCCTGAAGAGTCTACCAAGCCTTCTACCTAGATAGAGGACAGAGGTAGGTCTACCCAGAGGGAAAAAGAAAAGTCTAGGACTGCCTCCAAACCACCAAGAGCTGCTTTTCTGACTAACCGCTCTGAAAGCCCATGCTCTCAACTGGCAGTGGTTAAGGCCAATCAATTGCACAGACATGCTTAAAATTCTTCTGCTCATGCAAGGGCAGCTTTTAAATTTTTTCCTAAAAAGCACAAACCAGATTCCAAGACAGAAGCCTGAAGCTCAGCAGTGGGAAGGATGAGCATTCACACAGACTGCTTCTCAAGAGTCTAAACACTTCAGACTTTGTTTGAGAGCCCTGAAATGGAGGATATGACTCAAGGGAAACACTAGCTCCCAAATTTGGGTTAGAACTGCAGTTTGCCTCTTTGACTATGCCTGGTGATGAAAATCCTGGTTTTGAAGGTGAGCCTCTCCACTCTGTATAAGAGAGATTACAGCAAGATGTTTTTCCTTCCTGGCTGCTCTGGTATCAAATACAAAAGCTGCCAACAAATTAGGCTGCCTTAATAGCATTACTGTCTTTTCACATGGGGCGGGGTGTAAAAGACTGTCAGGATGCCAAGGTAAGCTGCAGCCAGAACTACACTCTCCTTCGTAAAATGTATGGGAATCTTCTTAAGGACATGCCTCTAAGCCCAAGATTTCCAGGTCTGCAAAGGCAGCAGCATCGCACAGGGAACATCCCGGGAAGCAGTACTGCCCCAGAAAGGAAGGCACAAATTTTCACATCCCGGGAGGCTCATGAGCTTGACACTTGGAAAGGCCTGACAGACACATCTGGAGCTTTGTTGAAGGCAAAACAATCACATCTCATGTTTTTCCATGTGACAAATACTCTTCACATTTTGGTCTGGACACCCTGCACACAGAACCACCTTGCCCAGCTGAATCCCTTCAGTCCCTTTTCCCTTCCAGCTCTCAAAGCCTTACAATAAGGAATTCAAGGGCAGGATGCACTTTACCGCACCTTGTCACAGGACTTCAGCCCTTCTTCACTATAAAAGCTTCCCAAC